CCGACCCCTCGGCGGGAGCACTGCCGCACTTCCCAAGCGGCGCACTGTAGCAGTGCGCCACCGGGCCGGCCCTAAAATTTCTAATTCATTTATTTCTGCTCTGATCTTTGTTATTTCTCACCTTCCACTGATTTGGGTTTGGTTTGTTCTTGTTTTTCAAGTTCCTTGAGGTGTAACATTAGGTTGTTTATTTGCAGTCTTTCTTCTTTTTTGATTTAGGCATTTATTGCTATGAAATACATTTTACTTATTTTTAATTTAATGTTTAGATAGAAAATTATTTTCTCAACATAGAAATGAAGGAAAACATCACAAATTAATTTTAAAGTCAATTGATAAGGAACAAATTTAACACAAAGATTAACATCCTTAATGAAAAAAGAATTCTTAAAAATGAATTAGAGGGCTGGCCTGGTGGCGCACCGCTACAGTGCGCCGCTTGGGAAGTGCGGCAGCGCTCCCGCCGAGGGTTTGGATCCCACATACAGACTGGTTCCCGCTCACTTGCTGAGCGAGGAGCGGGAGCAACACCGAGGGTTGCGATCCCGTTGCTTGTCCCTGTCCGGTTCGGGGGCGACACTGAGGGTTGCGATCCGTTGCTGGACACGGAAAAAGACAAAAAAAAAAAAAAAAAGAATTAGAAAAATCTAAGCAAAAATTTGGTGAAAGACATGAGCAGATAATTAGACCCCCCTAGAAAAACGTGGCTAATAAGTACATTCTAGGATGTTGGGGGGTGGGGGGGGTTTAAGGCCCTCTGCCCTCTATCTCAGGACCCCTGGGGCTTCTGGCTCCTTTGCTGGCCTGGTTGTGGTTGGCAGTAGGTGGGGCTGAGGCCCACCAGACTTCCATCTTAGAACTGCTTTTACTGTATCCCAAGGTCCTGGTATGTTGTGTTTTCATTTTCATTTGCCTCCAGAAATTTTTGTATTTCCTCTTGATTTCTTATTTGACCCATTTGTTGTTTAGGAGCATATTGTTTAATTTCCATGTATTCATATAGTTTCTACTGTTCCTTTTGTTGTTGATTTTTAGTTTTATTCCATTGTGATCAGACGAGGTAGTTGATATGATTTCAATTTTTAAAAATTTGTTGAGATTTGTTTTGTGCCCTAACATATGGTGTATTGTAGATAATGTTCCATGTGCTGCTGTGAAGAATGTGTATTCTGCAGCTGTTGGATGAAATGTTCTATAAAAGTCTGTTAGGTCAAGTTGGCCTATTAATTCTTTTTTTTTTTTTGTCTTTTGTCTTTTTCCGTGTCCGGCAACGGATTGCAACCGTCAGTGTTGCCCCCGTACCGGACCGGGGACCGGCAACGGGATCGCAAGCCTGGGCGTTGTTCCCGCGCCTCGCTCAGCCAGTGAGCGGGAGCCGGTCTGTATGTGGGATCCGAACCCTCCGACGGGAGCGCCGCCTATCCAGTGCGCCACCGGGCCGGCCCAAATTCTGATGTTTCCTGGTTAATTTCTGTCTGGATGATCTGTTCTTTGCTGAAAGTGGGGTATTAAGGTCCCCAATTATTATCGTATTGGAGTCTCTCTCTCCCATTAGGTCCAATGGTAATTGCTTTATGTAACTGGGTGCTCTGGAGTTGAGTGTATATATATATTTAGAATTGTTATATCCTTTTGTTGAATTGATCTCTTTATCATTAAATAATGATCTTTCTTATCCTTTTTGACTTTCCTTGGCTTGAAGTCTATTTTATCTAATATAAGTATAGGTACTCCTGCTCTTTTTTGGTTTCCATTTGCATGAAATATCTTTTTCCATCCTTTCACGTTCAAACAATGTATGTCTTTATTATTTAAGTGAGTTTCTTATAGGCAGCATTTTGTTGGTTATTGTTTTAAAATCCATTCAGCCACTCTGTGTCTTTTAATTGAGGCATTTAATCCATTTACATTTAGGGTTATTTTGACATATAGGGACTCAATACTGCCATTTTGCTAATTTTTTTCTGGTTGTTTTGTAGATCCTTCTTTCCTTTTTTTCTGGTCTTACTCCTTTGTGGTTGAGTGGTTTTTAGTATGTCTCATGAGGTTTGTGTTATGGTTACCATAAGGCTTACAAAAAACATGTTATAGTTATAACAAATTATCTTAAGGTGATAACATCTTTACTTTGGTATCTAATAAAAAAGAAAAAAAAAGCCAACTCTATGCTTTGGTGCCCTTCCCTCCTCCATGTCCCCCTCCCACTTTTTGACATTTTGTTGTTCCAGGTTGTTATCTGTTAGTATTGCCTTTCTCTTATATGGTTGTTGCATATGTTAATGTCTTATTAGTTTATCCTTCAGTCTCTATAGTAAGGATGTATGTGGTTATTCACCACCCTTACAATACTGGAATATTTTGAGGTTGTCTGTATCTTCAGATGTTTTCTTGCTACTCTTTTGCATCATTTTCTTTCAGAGTGAGGAACTGCCATTAACATTTCTTGTAGGGAAGCTCTAGTGTTGACGAATTCCCTTAGCTTTTGTCTGTCTGGGAAAGAATTTCTTTCTCTTTCATACTTGAAGATTAGTTTTGCTGGATACAGAATTCTTGGCTGACAGTCTTCTTTCCTTCAGCATTTTGAATAAATCATCCCATTCTCTTCTGGTCTGTAGAGTTTCTACTGACAGAAGTATTGGGGCTCCACTGACTGTCATGTGTGTTCTTTGGCTGCTCTCAGTATTCTGTCTTTGGTTTTATAATTTGACTGTAATGTGTCTCATGGTGGTCCTCTTAGGACTGAATCGGATTGGTGACCTGTGAGCTTCCTCTATCTGGATGCCGTCATCTTTCTCCATACTTGGAAAATTTTTCAGTCATTATTTTCTTGAAAATTCTTTCGAGGTGTCTTCTTAAAGCCTTCCTCAATTTCCCAAGCAATAGAGCACTTCTGCCTCCTTTGGAGTTGTATACTCCTAACAAGGTGTAAGTAGGGCATCAATGTCCATAATTTGACTGTAATGTGTCTCATGGTGGTCCTCTTTGGACTGAATCGGATTGGTGACCTTTGAGCTTCCTCTATCTGGATGCCGTCATCTTTCTCCATACTTGGAAAATTTTTTAGTCATTATTTTCTTGAAAATTCTTTCGAGGTGTCTTCTTAAAGCCTTCCTCAATTTCCCAAGCAATAGGGCACTTCTGCCTCCTTTGGAGTTGTATACTCCTAACAAGGTGTAAGTAGGGCATCAATGTCCCATTTGTTTGGGATAGTACCAATTTGTTGCTATTGTCCCAGTTATTTTATTTTCAGTGGCTGGCCAGTGTGGGAATCTGAACCCTTGACCCCGTGGTGTTATAACACTGCCCTCTAACCGACTGAGCTCATCCAGCCAGCTCATATCGTCCCAATTATTAATAGTGCCCCCTTTCACTCTTGAAAGTGTCCCATTTTAGTCAACAAACCCAATTCTCATCCTGTGCTTAGCTGTTATTTGAACAGAAATGCTTTCTCTCCTTGTACACTATAAGGTTACTTGAAAGCAAATATACGTCTTTCCTTCAGTAAATATCTACTGAGCACCTACAATGTGCCGCATATTGTACAACATGCTGCCTTGTATATCTTTATATTCCCCAGCACTTTGTGCAACAGAGGCTTTTAGGCCACATAACCTCAAGGGCTGGGCCAGTGTGAGGACAGATGAGAATGCAGACTAGAACTCGGATGTTATTTTCATGTTGGTTTGCTACAGAACCAGTGCGCAGGCAGCACAAAGTATAAATGAGATCAAGAGCATATGGTTCTGGAATGGATATGACCTACTGGGGCCTCCCCTTTTCCTGAGAGAGGCATACCTCAAGTTTGGGGCCTGTGCAGAGTGAGAACCCCACCAGGACAGCAGAGCCCAGAACTGTTAGCCTACTGTCTTTTAGGCTGGTAGGGAAGGGGGGGTGGGGTGGGGAGAGAGGCTACATCTGTTCATGTCCAGGTTTTGGATCCTAGTTTCTTGTCAGACCACAAATATATAACCTAGTTACTAAAGTGATATTTTTCTTTTGTTGGCATTAGGCCTACTTAAGAAGTCAGGGCAGCAACTGGCCATGAGTGATCAGAAAGACATTCAGTAAAAGCATAATAAAAGAATTAGCAGCACTACATCACTGATAAAAACCATGGACAAATTTAACTAGCTGGTAAAGACTAATGAAAATAAAATGTTTAAAACCCAAGTGACTTCTAGGTTTTTCTTCCAACTCAATCATTAATCTGTTAAACGTTTCTTTGTACTTCTGATCGTCAATTTTAAAAGAGAATCTCTTTTCTCCTCCCAAAATCTGTTGGCATTTGATCCTCCAATGTGAAACATTCTTAGAAAATAAACTGGTACCAAGCAAATTCATAATATCAAATTTTATAAGAAGAAAGGGCTGTGATTTTATTTTCAAATTTTTGGAATAGTTTTCAGAAAAAAATAAAATAATAAGAACACATACAAATATTGAAATTACTCACTGAACTATGAACTCTTAGGAGAGAAGGGACTTAGAAGTCTTCAATTCTCCCTCCTGAAAGCAGGAATCACGTCTAAAATGTCGCTCACATATTGAACCAACCTTCTCAAATCTTTCCCAAATTTGATGCACTTCATCTCATAAAAATATGATTTTTAATCATTTAAAACAAAAGAAAGAATAAAATAAGGGAACAAGGCCTGTTATGTTACATGCTTTTAGAGAAAGGTCACATTCTTGAAGCAGCTTTGCAATATGCAGAGCACAGTACTGGCTTCAAAAAAAAAAAAAATACAAAGATTCTGTGCACTTGCATTATTTAAGTATGAAGAGCTGCCATCATCTTCCTCTATAAAAATTAGCAGCTATGTGCATTCAAGTACATTAACTTAATTGTACTTCATGTAGTTTTATACTTGGGATGAGGCTGAAACATAAAAAAGAAACAACTAGTACAGAGCTGTTAATAAAAAACTTTTACCATATTAATGATTGTGACACGTGATCAAATAAAAATCAATCCTGGATTACAGAACAAATTTCTGATGACATAAGTTCTATTATTTACTAAAACTTTCCACTATCAGAAGATCCTGATTAAAATTTAAAAAACACATAAAACTGGAACAGTAAGGAAATAGGATTATTTGGTTCACTGCAGAAGTTCTGCTGGTCCAGGTGCCAGCCACACAACTGTCTGGATTTTCAACGAAGTGTGACCAGTTCTTCTGAAGAGGTAGGGTGAATGGCAACCGTGTTGTCAAAGTCTGACTTCGTTGCTCCCATTTTTACTGCAACAGCAAAACCCTGCAGCATTTCATCACACCCAATTCCCTGCATATGGATCCCAACCACCTGGGAAAAAAAGAGGAAAATTTCTAAAATGCTGTTTTTTGTTAGGTATACTGTAATGACAGATATATGACATTTAAAACCCCCCTAAAAGACTAACAACATTCCTAATCCCAATCCATCATGACACAGTCTCCTTGGCCCTGTGCAGTCCTGCCTCGACATCCCCCTCCAGCCCATCAGACAGCTCTCCCTCAGGCTCCTCTGGCTCTGGCTCCGCTGGCTTTCCTTCTGTCCTGTGCAGCCACCATGCCCTCTCATCTGCACAAGGGATCCCTCTGTCTGGAGAATCTTTGCTCCCCTCTTTTAAGAGTAAAGGCCATTCATTATTCAGACAGCTATGCGGTTGCTTCCTGACCAAGAGAAATCCTCCATCACGGGATTTCTCAGTGCCAATGTTTCTCCTCGGTGATTCTGTCACAGCTGCGAGGTTATACTTTCGGGGGGAATAAAGGTGGAGCCACCAAAAACAGTTTGGCGGCTTCTCAAAAATTTAAACTAAAAATAGGTTATCTTGGAAAAAAAAATTCTAATAAACTTCCTCTTCTTCTCTAATCTATTACATTAAGTTTAAATTTATCTTAAACTCTTACATTTAGCAGTGTTTCTGAGTTTCCGATCTATTCTGGTCTGTTGGTCAATGATAACAAGCTTTTGATCATTTTTGATCTTTCCCCCTTACTTTTTCTAAAGGGGTGGAACCTCCTTTCTGAACGAAGTATCGTGAAGAACCCCAAAATATAAATAACAGGTAAGTGTGGGACTGCCCAGTTTAACCAGAAGGCAGTCTGGTCTCCTTCCTCCCCATGCCACCAGAATACCATGGACCCTGTCAACTGCAGGGAGCACAGTTCGGCTCATGGGATTGTTCCGTACCTTCTCCTCTTTGTTGGCACACACCATTTTCATCACACATTTTGTTTTCCTTTTGGTAACTGCGTGATACATAGGAGTAAAGGTGGTCGAATAGGTCTTCACATTTTCTTTTCCATATTTATGAATGGCCTCATCTATAACGCACATAAAAAAAAAGCCTCTCTCAAAAAACTAAAGCTTTACACTGAGCTATCAGAGAAACAGATGGCCATAAATACATAACCTGAATCAAATCATGAGGGAATATCAAACAATACCAAAACGAGGGACATTCTGCAAAATAAATGTCGATGTCCTGTGAGACGAGAAAGGCTGAGGAATTTTGTCTCTAGATTGAAGGAGACTAAAGAGGTAGGCAAACCAAATGCAATATATTATCCTGGACTGAATTCTGGACTTGAAAAAAAATGTTAAAAATGACATTATTGGAGATAATTGGTAAAATTTGCATAATATCTAAAGTTTAGGCAATATTACATCAATTGAAGTTTTCTCATTTTGAAAATTGCACTGTGTTTATATAAAGGAACAAACTTGTTCTTAGGAAATATATACTGAAGTGTGTGCGTGGTGAGAAAATGATAAAGCAAAAATGTTAAAGTATACTGGAGTCCTTTGTACTATTTTTGCAACTTTTCTTTTAATTTTAAATTATTTTTAATAAAAAGGCTAATGAAGTCAAAGAGATAAGGCAGTCTGGGGGAAGGGACCTGTACTCTCAAAGTATTAGCAGTTGGGGAGGATACTGGAACTGTGATAAGAGGCTAACCAAAAAGAGTCTAACTATAAAAGTCATATAAGTATAAAAAGGAGGGCTAGGGGCTGGCCCGGTGGCGCACTGCTGCAGTGTGCCGCTTGGGAGTGCGGTGGCGCTACCGCCGAGGGTTCGGATCCCACATACAGACCGGTTCCCGCTCACTGGCT